CATGTGATCACAACCAATACTGCTCAATAAATGGGATATTTTAAAAACAACAACAACAAAAAAAGATAATTTGCTCACCATCATGTTGTTTCAGTCCTTTATGACTTTCTGTCTTCTGTGGACATAAAAGGTGATGTTTAGAAGAATGTCCAGTTTACTGTTTTTACAGTTCAATGACTGTGAATGATGATTTTTAACAGCAAGCTTAAAAAAAAGAAAAACAACAACAACAACAAATAAACAAAACAAAAAAGCACTAAAAGTAGTCAATAGGACTTGTGCAATATATTACTCTTCTGATGTCATATAATGCTTTGTTTGAGGAACAGACCCAAATGAATTTATTTATTTGAAAATAAATGAATACTTCTGATCAGCAAGAGTGCAATAAATTGATCAGAAGTGACATTATAGACATGTATAATGTTACAAAAGATTCGTATTTCAAATAAATGCTTTTCTTTTAAATTTTCTATTCATCTGTGAATCCTGAGAAATAAAAAGTATCACCGTTTCCACAAAAATATTGGGCAGCACGACTGTTTTCAACATTGATAATAATCAGAAATGCTTCTTGAGCAGCAGATCAGCATATTAGAATGATTTCTGAAGATCATGTGACACTGAAGACTGGAGTAATGATGCTGAAAATACAGCTTTGATCACAGGAATAAATTACATTTTACAATGTATTCACATAGAATACAGCTACTTTGAATTGTAATAATATTTCACAATATTACTGTTTTTACTGTATTTTATTTTTGATCATATAAATGCAGCCTTGGTGAGAATAAGACCTCTTTTAAAATATTTCCATCACGTCGAGTATCCAAGTAGATGGATTCCTCTGCTCTTCTATCAGAGCGACTCAACGGATATCTATGTTTATAATTGTTCGCAAACAAATCCTGATCGAGCAAACAAACGCTGATCGTTTCTCTCATGAAGGATGACAACACAGAACCATTCTACACCAGATCATGTTGACTCTCTCGATCTGAAACGTATGTAAGCATGCTTGTTCCACAGACAATCATTCCGGCTCTGTTTTCACTGAATGATGTTCTGCTCTGTCGCTCTGCTCTGTCACATAAATATCAACATTTTTAGATAGATTCGACTTTTGTCTCACTGCACAATCGTTTATAGAAATCGTTCTGGTTGATTTTATCATTGGGATCAACACAGTGGGAGAGATGCTAATCTTCTCAACTCCTACCTAGTGCATATTCATGTTAAATAGTTTAGAACAGTGCTATTATAGGTTAACTAAAACTAAAATTATTAAAATGTTTTCATTATTGAAATAAAGTTTTAATAATATCAAATATACATATTATATGGAAAAACTTACATTTAAAAGTTTTACTGAAATCTAAAATAAAATATAAATATTGAGCCTGGTTTCATGAAAATGCGTATAAATAGCAAGCCAAATAAAAACGAAAACTAAAGCAAAAATGGACTTTGGCGTGCATATGATACGCATGTGTTTGGCGTGCATATAATATGCAGTTTTCGCGTGCATATGATACGAAATGTGTTGGCGTGCATATGATAAGCAGTTTTCCCATACATATGATACACATCTACCCCACAACCCTAAACTTACCCATCGCGTAGCCAAAGTAAATTTTTGCATATCAATACCACAAGTTTTCATTTTTATTTGGCGTACTATTTATATAACAACAATTCCAAAAGCACAAAACAAAATTGCTACATTTATCTAAAATAAAAATGAGGACTGAAAATTCTAAATATTAATAAATACTATATAATAATAACTACTATAGTAATACATAATTAATACTAAAACAACACTGATCTAAAATATCAGCCATAAAATGAATATGATTATCGAACAGGATTACAAATTGACCTCGCAGTACAAATGATTGCATCAAATAAATGTGAAGAATTCATTAATTCAAAGTACGATGCTTAAAATGTTTTCCAGGGAATGTTGACAGAGGAATGAATCTGTGTGCTTTAAATTAAACAATGAGGACAAAACATGAACACACACACACACACACACATTCACACAGGTTTGTTTTTGTGAAAAGTGGGGACTCTCCAGAGGCGTAATTTGCCTCAGAGCGATACACACTCTTGTTCTTTTGCGTGCCTGTCATTGCATTAGTCGGCGGCTGCCTCTCCGTGACATTTGCTTGATGAGGATTTCATTATGGCTCTGGGGCTTAGGCATTCCTTTAACAGCATAATGATCCCGCACGGACGACTGTCAATGAAGATCAGGGTCAAAGAACACGTAATTCCATTCTGTCATTTCCCCGTTATCTTTTAATAAAACATGAGTAGATTGGATGAATCATCTACGGTATGATTCTGTCTTCGGCCTGCATTAGCCTTGCATTTTCACTGTAATTGCAGGCTGTTTTGATGTCCTTCCTATCTGTGCTTGAACTATTTTGATTCTGAACGAACGCTGTGTTTTGAAACATCTCTCTGGACTTGCTCTGGGTGGCCGCTGACGTGTGTAGGTTTATACACCGCCATAAGAACTCATCCATCAAATACATGCAAAAACAAGCTCCAGTAAAATGAGAACATCTGCTGCTACATTGTGTGTTAAAGCAACTTCCCTGTATTCAACATCACTGTCGGTTTATAGCAACACTTCCTTGGTTTTGCATCGACCATAGTTCACCCAAAAATGAAAACTTGCTGAGAATGTACTCACCCTCAGACCATCCGAGATGAAGAAGAGTTTGTTTCTTCATCAGATTTGGAGAAATGTAGCATTGCATCACTTGCTCACCAATGGATCCTCTGCAGTGAATGGGTGCCGTCAGAATGAGAATGAAACATTTCTCCAAATCTGATGAAGAAACAAACTCATTTACATCTTGAATGAACTGAGGGTGAGGACATTTTCAGCAAATTTTCATTTTTGCATTAATCCAAATGAGAATTTTCACTCAAAATTCTCATTATTGTAAAGGCCAAAAATATGTTTATAATATTTAAATTGTTATTTATAAATTGCAGATATATTTCTTGTGTTACCATTCATTTATGCAAATTTTAATTAAAAAAATAAATGTATTATATAATTTTATAAACTAATGAACTGAGGGTGAGGACATTTTCAGCAAATTTTAATTTTTGCATTAATCCAAATGAGAATTTTCACTCAAAATTCTCATTATTGTAAAGGCCAAAAATATGTTTATAATATTTAAATTGTTATTTATAAATTGCAGATATATTTCTTGTGTTACCATTCATTTATGCAAATTTTAATTAAAAAAATAAATGTATTATATAATTTTATAAAGGTATTATAGTAATGATAATCACCACGGAGAACAATGAGAATTACAAAACAAACAAATAAGGATAAATAAAATAATAAATAAGGATGCTTAACAGAGATGAGAATGAAAATTTGGAACCGAAATATGTTTAATTGTTATTAAAATAAGGTCAAAATGAAATAAAAAAAAAAGTTCTAAAAAACAAACAAACAAACAAAAAGCAATCACTGTCTTTCATTATTTATTTTATTTATTTTTCCTTTTCTTTTGATTTTGGGCTAAAATGTGACCTGGACATATTTTTTGTGTGATGTATCGTCCAGTATGCAATCTTTTGTGGCCCACAAAGTCACCCTAGAAAACCTTTGAAAAACTGTAAATATTTATTGATTAATTCAATTGTATTTTAGCCATACATCTGCATTTTTGGGTGGACATTTAAGGGTGCTGGTTCAGGGAAAAACACAACCACTGCACCCCGTCTCTAGTTCATCATCCTCAACCCAACACAGAATGATCAAAAACCAATCAAATCACCCAAAGGAAAGCAATCTGGAAACGTTTCGGTACATGTACAAATCATCGGTGAACATGTATATCTTGGGATATCTAAAAAATAATGGATAAAGAACCTGTCAGATGGCCTCGTTTGTTTCTTGTCGTGTATTGTGCCATGTTGTCTTGTCTTTCAAAACTCCCCTTGAAAACCGATTCAATGCCGAACGCAACATCCACAAAAAATTATCTGGATAATTAGTTGAAAAGCAACACAACACACAAAACGTATATGACAAGACAAAACCAATGCTCACAAAACCTGTCAAAGAGTCATATTTCACTCCAAAATCTAAAGAAAGAAATATTCAATTATACTTTGCTGAAAGTAAATGCAGCCTATTTATACAGTAACATATTTTTTTTATGATAACTAAGCACATTTTCCCCAAATTTTTACTTTTTTTAATTGTTAACTACATTACAGTCCAGATAATCTTACTGAGAATAGTGAAAAATACATAAAAGTGAAACATCTAGATGCATTACAGTAATTTTGGAGGCAAAACTCTTAATCGCCATAAACACAATTAAAACAGACTTCATCTTCTTTATGCAAAATGTCATTTCTTATTTTATTCTCTTGATTTGGGGGTGAAGCGTGATTTTGACATGTTTTTGTGAGATTCGCCCCAACAGCCGTTACTTTTCTCCAGCAGAAACAATTCGTATTTTACAAAAAGAGTTTCTAAAAAATAAATACAAAGATTTTCAAGACTGATTTACTGTCACTGATAGTTAGCAAACTCCTCTCAGCGATCCCACCCCAACTCTTTTTTTTTTTGTTTTAGTTTTTTACCCACAGGATATTCAGTCCTTGTCTGTCACCCTGACGAATTAATCAGAAAATTGTCCATTTTTGTATTTCAGTCCATTGCCAGGATGAATAAATAAATAAATAGAAAGCAATAAATACATAAATATCATTTTACTTTTTTTTTTTTTTTTTTTTTTTTTTTTTTTTTAAAAAAAAAAATTTTTTTTTTTTCATTTTTCTTTAAATAAATACATATTCATTTAAGGTTCTTTTTAAATGTTGGTGATTAAAAAGTCTTTCCATTGAATCCATCTGGATCCTGGTGACTTAAAGTCATTTATCGCCACAGATGGGCAAAGAAATCACCAAAAAAGAGCAAAGAATGAGTGTTTTTTGTGGTTTATATGGCACGGCCCCGTTCCTCTTGCTCTTGCTGACAGGTGAGAAGATGTTGGAGGTTTGCCCAGCACCCGGTTATTGTTGTTTTTCTCCTTCAATATTTGTCCTGAACTTTTCTACAAGATGAGAAGTCACTTTACAAAGTGTAACGGGTGACATTAAAACTCTCCAGACTGACTGGGATCCAAACTAGGAACTGCAGGGAGAAAAAAATGACGGGATGCTGTTCACAGGATGGTGCTAGGACGCTTCTTCCTCAGGTTGGGCCGGGGCGTAGTATCCCGCCAGCTGCCTGAAGCGTGGCCCCCAGTCGCTGAGGTACGAGAAGTCCTGCTCCGAGGTGGTAGACAGCGTATGGATGGAGCTTAGCGAGAGAGCCGGCGAGCTGCTGCCCTCGAAAGCATAAGTCTGGAATGAGTCGTACGGTGGCACCGACAAGTCCGCGTCCGCCTGCTCCACCTTCTTGCGTATGTAGCCTTTGAAAACCGAGAAGTCGGCCGGGCCGCCATCTCCAACAACTCTGTTCTGGATCCACTGCGGGACCGGGCGCTGGTCGGGGCCCGAATCTGAGTTTTTGACCTCGGGGAAGTCGTAGAGGTTGCGCAGGGCACTCATGTCATATGCCTGGGTGTCCTGCTCGCCGCCACCCTCGTCATTGTATTTGATGACGTTGTCGCGCATGTCCTCCTCGTCTTCAGACATGAGCTGGCCCTTCCTGTGACGCTTGAGGGTCAAGATCAGCAGCACCAGGACTAAAGGAACAACGAGAGACAAACAAGACT